AGGAAACACAGGGAATCCAGGACAGATGATCCCTTCAGGACCAGCACTGAGTGGCAATACCAGGAGAGTGGAGGGAGGGTGAGGTGGAAAGCGGGAACCGATGACAAGGATCTACATATAACCTCCTCCCTAGGGGATGGACAACAGAAAAGTGGGTGAAGAGAGATGTCGGACAGTGTAAGATATGACAAAATAATAATAAATTATAAATCATCAAGGGTGCATGAGGGAGGGGGGACCACGGAGGGAGGAGGAAAAATCAGGAGCTGATACTAAGGGCTTAGGCAGAAGGCAAATATTTTGAGAATGATTATGGCAAGAAATGTACAAATGTGGTTGACACAATGGAGGTATGTGTGGATTATGATAAGAGTTGTATGACCCCCATTAAAATGACTTTTTAAAAAATTTCAGCTGATCTGGCTAGCTAGCGGGTGTCCCCTTCCTCCCTCACCGCTCCACGTGCATCCCTCCTGAAGCTGCGTGCTCGGCTGAAGAGGACAACCTTCCCCGATAGAAGGAAGACGTCCTTCAGTCAATCCTTTGGTCAAGGGTATATGAGTAGCTACACTCCACTGCTAGAACCTCCAAACAAGTCTCAAAAAAAAAAGACCACGAAGTAGAGTGAGAATTTTAAATTTATTTGCTTCTATTTTGAGTGTATATAACACTTAAAATGCCTTTGACAGAAAATGTCTGTAAGTACTGCTTGTCAATTTTAACTGAGATAATTTGTACTGAATAAATATACACTTTGGAATTGAAAATATTATATATATAAAATATATTCAAATTCCAAGATTAAAAATACTGCCATCAAATGAATTCTAACAGTGATCCTACAGAAGAGTAGATCTAGATCTGTCTTTTAGAATTTCCAAGACTGTAAATCTTTTTTTTTTATTAAATAAATCATTTTATGGGGGCTCTTACAACTCTTATAACAATCCATACATCTAATTGTATCAAACACATGTTGCCATCATCATTTTCAAACATTTTTTTCTACTTGAGCCCTTGGTATCAGCTCATTTTTTCTTTTTTGTAAATCTTTATAGAAGCAGACTGCCACATCTTTCTCCTTCAGAGCAGCTAGTAGGTTCAAATGACTGACACTTTGATTAGCATACAAGTGCTTAACCAGTGAGCCCCAAACCGCCTTTAAGTACACAGATATTCCAAACATTTACTTTTGGGTTGGCCCTGCTGGCCAACAAATTTTCTCATCAACACGTTTTAAGTGGAGCTTAAATTCTCATTTCAGCCCACTCCATGCAAAAAGTACTTCAAATAAACTAAGGACACAATCTTAACCAAGCGTAAGTACCATTTAAATCATTATTTCAAATGAAAAATGATTCCCAACTGTAGAAAAAGCAATGGAGGTAGAGTAGAAAAATAATTAAGGAAATCAATTCCTTTCTTAATATCCAATTGCTTCTCCATTTCATTTATTCACCAGTTTATAAATTAAGATTTTGTGACTTGCAAGCTAGCTCTGAGTTTAAGCTATAAAGTAACTAGTCATCTTCATTTAAAGAGAGTGTCTGAGTTTATAAGCAAAGCAACACTGTCAGTCAAATTTCATTCCTCTAGGAAACTGCTCGTTTCAATGTGTGGTTGTTCTAACAAGACCAGAAAATTTGGAGAGAACGTCAAACTAGTTTACAATTCCTATCAGAAGAACCAATAATTACCGTATATACTCAAGTATAAGCCAAGTTTTTTCAGCACATATTTTATGCTGAAAAAGTTTTTGGTGGTAAAATTAGATGCCTCAGCTTATACTCGAGTATAGACGGTATATTTGGCCTCATATCTACCTATACTCATTCACTGCCATCAAATTGATGATGACTCATAGTGACCCTATCGGACAGGGTAGGACTGCCCCTGTGAGTTTCTGAGACTGTAATTGTTTATGGGAGTATAAAACCTCATCTTTCTCCTAAGGAGCTGCTGGTGGTTTTTAACTGCAGACTGCAAATCGTAGCCCAACTTGTAACCACCAGGGCTCCTATCTACCAATACTACTACCTAAAAGATAATCAAGTAAATGAGTCAGCTCCAGATAACATTGGTGAACATATGTTTGGCTAAAAGTCTTCAATAACAGGTCTTCATCACTGAGACTGTTCAAAAAGAAAAAAACTAAGTAAATAAAGAACAGGGTGGTATGTTCTGTTGTGCATATTTCTGCCACAATTAGAAAAAAAATTAGATGAATAACTACAAGGAAGAAAATGTTCTAGATTTGAAAATGATAACCATTGTACAACTCTTCTCATTATTGTACTGTATGACGTGTATAAAGTTAAAAATAAAATTGTTTTTTAAAAAAAAGAACAGGGTGGTTGCTGATAGTGGTGTGATTTTCCAGGAAGATTAACATCCCTGGAGTACAAGGGGATTTCAAAAAGTTTGTGGGAAAAAATCCATTATTTTTTTCATTCCTTTTTCTATTAACTTTCTCAAGCTCTCTCATAGTCACTACTTTTCACAAGCAGCCCATATCAGATGTAAATATTTTGTCTGTTAAAAAAAATAGCATTCCCCTCTCCCTCAAAGAATGCACACTTCAGAGGACAGCATTAAAGCTACAGCTTGGGGAGAGGAGCACGTCTGATTAGAGCACACAGGAGAAACGAAGAGGGATGTGGCCCACCAAGCCCCAAGGACGATATTCCTACTCAGAGCAGCCAAAGCACAGAGAAGACCATAGGGCCGACCACACGAAACATGATACCTCTCACTCAACCTTAACGGGGGACAACAATAGAGACACAGTGCGGGAATTGTGCCCCATCTGACCCCTCACCACACTAGGGCGAAACACCAAGGGCATTCAACAGAGCAAAGGCAGCAAAGGCAGCAAAGCAATGATATCCCTGGGTAATACCAAGGAATACCAAAAAATAGATTTTAGAGACAGAGTGTGGCACTCCATCAGACTCAACTGGGAAACACTCCTAAAGGTCAAAAAACCAAACCTGGAACTATTTATAGGCTTTTCCTTTTTTGTCATTGGCTTTCTTTTTGTTATTGTTTTGTTGGATTTGTCTTCCTTTGTTGTTTTGTTTGGCTTTGCCTGGTTTTTGCGATTAATGTCTCTGCATTTCTATCTAGGTAAGATAGACAGGAAAAACAACTCGGAGATAGAAACAACAGAATCGACGGTTCCCAAGGGATACAAAGGGGGGGGTTGGGCAACAACCCAGGGACAAGGGAACAAGTGAACTAAAATCAACAGAGAGAAGGGCATAGGATGCCTACTGGGGCTTAATCAAGGGCAATGTAACTGTGAGGAATTACTAAACCCAAATGAAAGCCGAACATGATGGTGGGACAAGCGGAAAGTAAAAGGAAATAGAGGAAAGAACCAGGAGGCAAAGGACATCTATAGAGGTCTAAATACAGGCATATACAAGTGTAAATATATTTATATATAATGAGAAGGGAACAGATCTATGTACTTATATCTATATGCTAAGAATTAAGTTGCAGATGGACATTGGGCCCTACTTAAGTACTCCCTCAATGCAAGAACACTTTGTTCTAATAATCTGGCATTCTGTGATGCTCCTTCCTGATGATCGCTGAAGACAAAATGGGTACATAGCAAATGTGGTGAAGAAAACTGATGGTGCCCGGCTATCAAAAGATAGAGCGTCTTGGGCCTTAAAGGTCTGAAGATAAGCAGATTGAGAACCAGAGGCAGGGAAAGCTAAAACTGCAGGGTCTTTACACATGAAACACTACTGGGTACATTGAATAAATAGACAGAGACAGTGCCGTATAGAAACCAGAGTCTATTCTGGTATAGTGAGAGAAAGAACAGGGACATTTTGAAGAATTTGGTACAAAGCATTAAAATGGATTTAGGAACCTACCTGAGTAAGCTCATAGGCTCTGTATGCCAAAAGTGATGTAATCCTATTGGCATTCTTCGACATGTGACATTCATGCTTTGGCGTTGGGTCCAGAGTATTTTTATTTAACATAGATTCCAAACTTTTTACTCCCATGGGATCATATATACTCTTTATTTTACCCTAAAATAGAGAAAACCTGTGAAGTTCCCTCTCAAACCTCACTATTTAGTGTATAACATTAACAGTATAGAATACTCCTCAGAATATAAATCCTCTAATACTTGGTAAATGAAGAAATCCAACACTTTTTACCAATATTGAAGCAGTTATCAAAAACTAATCACTGAAAAGTTTGACCTTAACAACAAAAAAACCCAAAATCCTATCCACAATACTTTAAATTAAAATAAGCATATTATTAAACATATTTCTAGCTTTCCTTCACACTTTTCTTAGGAAAAACAAAAAATACTTAAGATTGTTATTAAATACTGTTTAAGCTTAGAGCATAGATGAGAAGTAAACCATTCTCAAAAGTATCTTAATAATAGATAAAACTAGTCACAAACTTTACCTGAAAAGGAAAAGAGCCCAGATAAGCAAGGCACTAGTGAATGAGAAAGTAAGAAGCTTCACACTTCCAGATCTCAGAACTCACTATTATAGCAAGCAAGTCTCAACAGTCTGGTACTGGCACAACAACAGATACCTGAACCATGGCCAGAATTAAGAACTCTGAAGTAAATCCACCATCTAAGGACACCTAGGAGGAGCCTAGGTGAAGTAGTGGGATGTTAACTGCAGGGTCAGCAGTTGGATGCCATCAGCTGTTCCTCAGGAGAAAGACGGGGCTTTCGACTCCTATAAAGAATCGGTCACAGGTTCTACCCTGTCCTATAATGATGAGTGGGCACCACCTCGATGGCAGTGAGTTTTGAATAAGGACAGCTAATCTTTAACAAAGGACCGAATTCCATTAACCAGGGAAAAGAGTCTCTTTACTAAATGGTGCCGGCAAAAATGGATCGCCACTTAAAAATAAACAAATAAAATAGAAAACCTGGATTAGCCACTTACAGAGACATGAAAGAGAATCCATACCTCACACCTTATATAAAAACTAACTTAAGCTGGATCAAAGACCTAAATATAAAGCCTAAAATTATAAGAACCGTAGAAGAAAACTATAGCAATATTTAAACCCAATTCAGTGCCCAGTTAATTCCAACTCACAGCGCCCTCATACAGAGTTACCAGGACTGTAAATCTCTAAAAAACATTAGCCTCATCTTTCTCCCACACAGGGGCTGCTGAGTTTGAACCACTAACCTTATGGTTAGCAGTCCACAGCACAGCATAACCAGGGCTTTTTATCAGCAAATTCCAGGTCCCTAATTTATGGACTAAATAGTCTATCAAATTTATCTAAAAAAAAAAGTTCACCAAGATCAATCAAATGACTAGAACATTAAAAAAATTAAGTTAACACTTAAAAAATTAAGTTAACACTTAAGTTCATTTAAAAAAAAAGATTTCGGTTCTTTTGGGCCAGGAAGAGGCACGGAAGCCTTGGGCTGGGAGAAAAAAATAAAAATAAAAAATAAAATTTTTAAAAGATTTCTCTAAAGAGTAAAAGGAGAATGTAGAGTCGAGTGGGGGTGAGGTGGGGATTGGGCAAACATATATAACAAAGGATGAATCTACAATTTACAGGACATTTTAACACCTCAATAAAGACAAACAATCCAATTTTAAAAATGGGGAAAGAACATGAACAGACATCTCACTAAAAAGGCATTCAGGCAGCCAATACATAAAGAGCTGCTTGTAATAAGTGTCTTTTAGAGAGATGCTGAGACATCATCATCTTACCCCAGCAATAATAGCAATGATCAAAAAAACAGAAAAGAACAAATGCTGGTTTAAGGACATTTGAACTCTCTTATACACTGCTGGAGGGATTGTAAAAAGGTACAAACACTGGAAAATGTTGCATACAGCAAAGTTAGAAATATGACTCACTGCCATCCGGTCAATTCCCACTCACAGAAACCCAATACCTCTTTAGGTTTCTGAGGCTGTAAATCCTTACAGTAACTGAAAGCCTTAACTATTTCCTTTGGAGCAGCTGGTGGTTTCAAACTGCTGACCTTGTAGTTAGCATCCTTAGAAGATAAAAGCTGATACAAGTAGATCTATGCACATCCCAAGTAGATCTATGCACATCCATGTTCATTGTATCATAATTCACAATTTCAAAAAGATGGAAACAAACAACCTAAATACTTATTGACAGATGAAAGGATAAACTATGGTACATATAAACAATGGAATACTATATAATGTTATCCAATAATAATGAGTCTAGGAAACCTCTTACAACATTAATGAACCTGAAAGATATGCTGAGTTAAATAAATCTATCACAAAATGACAAATATTATATGAGACCACTATTAAGTCAAAAAAAGGTTTACCCAAAGGGGGGGGGGGCATTCTTTGATAATTACCAGGGATAGGAGGGAGGGAGAATCATTACCTGTATAGTTAACATGTATTAAATAAATTACGTGAAGGAAAAGGCAAAATACACTAAGGGGGAGGTCATCACAATATGACCAAGGCAAAGAGACACTGGGAGACAAACAAGAGCAATATCTAATGATCTAGTAGATACATACAATCTTATGCTAACACTTATATCAATAATTTAGGAGTGAATACATTGTCAGTTATGACTGAATAGGTGTGAGCTGATGAATAGGAGTACACAAATGAGCATACACAGGGACTTCAAAAAGTTGGTTGAAAATTCCCACTATCTTTACATTTTTTTCATGAACTTTTTGAAGCAACCTTGGGTAGTTTGGCGTGGCCATTTCTACATATGTATTTACAAAAGCTACAAATTTATTTATGTATGTAATACAGAATACAGGAAGGGGCCAAAGTTATGAAAACTTTTAAACTATAACCAAACACCTTGATGTACAAAGTCACTGGACTTGAGAGCTTAGGTCTACATCCAGGTCAATTGGCCTAACATCATCCATAAAAACAATGGTCTTCAGCCTACTTTTGTGATCAGGAAACTAAGGTTTCTTAGAGCAGGAACTTAGAAATTTAGAGCAGCCATCTAAGATGGTCTCTTCCTGCCCAAGGTACAGAAGAGTGAAGAAAATCAGAGACCCAGGTATAGACTTAATTAGTCCAAAGGATAATGGACCAGATGAACTACAGCCTCTACTACTAGCCACAGTCCAGAAGTGAATTAATGCCCAGCCATAATTACCAACTACTCTAATCAAGAATGATCAAATTAAGTCAGGGACAGAAGGGGAGTAAAATGTAAAACAAAATTCAAAACCATAAAAAAATTCAGACTTACTGGGCTGATAGAGAGACTGGTAGAACCTGGAGACGATGGCTATTAGACACCCTTCAAACCTGTAACTGAATCTATTCCTAGAGTTAAGCCAAATAATAGACGGGCCTATACAGTGAACATTAAAAACTATGAGCAGCAGCATTTGCTCAAAAATTAATTTAAGAAAACAGAAAAGGGCAGAAATGATGAGTGAATGGAAGTTAGAAGAGGACTGTTATATTGAGGGGACTGCACGTCAGGAAGCAAAACACATATAAATAGCTGAATGTGGAACTAACACTAAAAAATATTTTTAAATTATTTTTTATATAGCAAACACAAGCATGTATTTTTAAATTTCAAAACTTTAAAAACATTTGGCAAATGAAAATCCCTAACAAATGATCAAATGTTGTCTTTGATACATGAAGAGCTTAAGTTACCTTCATTATTTTGAAAATAACAACATCACCCATTGCCCCAGCTTCCAAAGGATTTGCTTGTAATAAATCAGCATATCTAGAAAGATAGATACCTAAACAGAAAGGGAATCATTAAAATTAATTCCAGTAAGCCAGGATACAAATACAAAAAATTTTAAATGATAAAGATAATAATAAAGGAGAGAAAAGATATGACAACTTCCCTTATGGGTAGTAAAATTAGCAAGAGCCGTTATGGGTAATTAAAATAGCAAATTTCAGGATAGTAGAAATAACAAAGATAGCCCAATACAAAAACTAGGGGAGAATCTAATGAAATTTTTCAAAGTCACTATGATCAAGATATTTTAAACATAATCACTGATCAATCCAAAATATACAAAATCTAAAGTAGAGATAAAACTGAATTTATACTTTGCTGTTGTGAGGTGCTGTACCCCATGTACAACAGAACAAAACAGTGCCCATCCTGTGTCATCCTTTTTTTGAGCCCGTTGTTGCAACCACTGTGCTAATCCATCTTCTCGAAGGTCTTCTTTTATACTGTCCCTTTAATTTAACAAACAGGATATCCTGCTCTCTTGTTGGTCTAACATGTCCAAAGTACATGGGACAAAATCTCGCCATCCTTGTTTCTCAGGAGCAATCTGGTTGGACTTCTTCCAAGACCTATTTATTTGTTCTTTTGGCAGTCCATGATACTTTCAATATTCTTCTCCAGCACCATAATTCAAATAGATTAATTCTCTAGTCTTCCTTACTGAACGTCCAACTTTCATGTTTATGTGACGTGACCGAAAATACCATGGCACCTTAGTCCTCAAAGTGATATCTTTGTTTTCAACACTCTGAAAAGGTCTTGTGCAGGGCCAACAATGAGCGTAGAGATATCAGGAGGATTAGGGGAGGGTGGGGGAAGAAAAGAATCACAAGAATCAACCTATACCCCCCTCCCAGGGGGACAAGTGGGTGAGATACGAAAATAATCTATAACTTATCAAGGGTTTGTTACTGGGAGGGTGGGGGAAGGAGGGAGGGAGGGGAAAGAAATGGGGAGCTGATATCAGGGGCTCAAGTGGGAAGAGAATGCTTTGAAAATGATGGCAGCATATGTGCAAATGTGCTTGACACACTGGATGTATGGATTGTGATAAGAGATATAAGAGCCCCCAATAAAAGTACTGAAAAAAGAAAAGGTCTTGTGCAGATGATTTACTTGATGGACTATGTCGTTTGTCCTCTTGATTGTTGGCTTTCATGAGAATTGATTGTGGATATAAGCAAGATGAAATCCTTGACACTTCAAGCTTTTTCTGGTTTTCATGATGTTTCATGAAACTATTGGTCCAGTGGTGGATTTGCACTGAGTGATAATCCATACTAAGGCTACAACAATCCTTGATCATCAGCAAGTGATTCAGGTCTTCCTCATTTTCGGTAAACAAGATTGGATCATCTGCATATTGCTGGTTGTTAATGTCTTCCTCCAATCCTGATGCTGCATTCTTCAGATAATCCAGCTTCTGTATTTATTTGCTCAGCATACAGATTGAGTAAGCAGGGTAAGAGGATATAATCCCAACACACACCTTTCTTGATTTTAAGCCAGGCAGTATTCTTTTGTTCTGTTTTCACAAGTCCCTCATGATCCACAGGTTCCCCATGAGCACAATTAAGTGTTCTGAAACTCCCATTCAGAAGGCTATTCTTAGTTTATTATGATCCCCAAAGCCAAATGCCTTGGCCTGGTCAATGAAACACAAACAACTTTCTGGTATTTCTCTGCTTTCAACCAAATTCCAACTGAACATAAGTGATGATATCCCTTTGTTTCATGTCCTCCTCTGAATTTGGACTGAAATTCTAGCAGCTCTCTTTCAATGTACTGATAAAGCTGCTGTTGGATGATCTTCAGCAAAATTTTATTTGCATCTGATTATCAATGATATTCTTTTATGTGCGCATTCTGTTGGGTCAGCTTTGAAATGGGTCCAAAAATCTCTTCTACTCAGTTAGCCAAGTAGCGGTCTTTCAAATTTCTTGGCACAGACGAATTGAGTGCTTTAAATGCTACATCAGCTTGTGGAAACTTTTCAATTAGTATTCCATTAATTCTTGAAGCTTTGTTTTTGGCTATTGCCTTGAGTGCAGCTTAAACTTCTTCCTTCAGTACTACTGGTTCTTGCATGTTACCTCTTGAAATGCTTCAATGTCAACTAGTTCTTTCTGGTACAATGACTATTCTTTCCATCTTCTTTTGATGCTTCTTGCATTGGTTCAGTATTTGCACACAGAATCCTTCAATATTGAAACTCAAGGCTTGGAATTTTTCTTCAGTTCTTTGGGTTTAAAATATACCAAGCATGTTCTTCTTTTTTGGTTTTCTAACGCTAGGTCTTTGCACATTTCATTATAATATTTTACTTGGTATTCTCAAGCTGCCCTTTAAATTTTTCTGGTCAGCAATTTGACTTATTTTTTTCATTTGACTTAGCTACTCTTTTAGAGCTATTTTCAGAGTCTCTTCTGACATCCACTTTGATTTTTACTTTCTAGTCTTTGTAACCTTTCTCTTTTATCTTTAAAAGCTGTGAAACTAGTCTCCTGTTCTGGAAACATTACAAAATTATTACAAAAACATTACAAAAATTATTTACTATACTGAGCTCTGAATTTAATTACAGAGCTCAGTATAGTAACAATACATTTATAAATGACAAATAGTGAAAAAAAAATTTTTAATTACCCATGGAAGGACTGCCAAGAATTGTTATTTTGGATTGTCCCACCTGTAATCCTTTTTCACATATGCTCTGAACCTACAAATAAAGGAAACGCTCATCAAACTATTGTAATAACATAAAAAAATTGCAAAGGTCTGACTGATCTGAAAGGGAACACAATAAAAGATCCTGGTTATAGTGGGGGAAAAAAGTAGATAAAAACAAAATAATTAAAAATGTTTTAAAAGTTTACTGCTTTGATGGATACTGGTAGAAGATTGGTCGTTCTCCGGGACAGAACTAAACTCATCCACTCGACTCAATTTACAGCCAAACAATAAACTTTTTTATAGGGTGAAAAATAACACCAATGAAATATGTTCCTTCTAACAGTTAACCTTAGGAAAGCAAAAGGGCAGTATCTGTGCTGAGATAAACCTCAGAAGCCAGGAATGAATTGGAAAAGAGGATAAATATGAAAACAGTTAAGCACACAAAGTGGAAAAACTGCTATGATACTGTGGATACTACAATTAATGTCAAGAAACTTATTGTGTATGAAATGGAAAACCTATTTGCTCTTTACACCTTTACTCAAATCAACACACACACACACACACACATGCAGGACAACAAAGAAATATCAGTCTTTTCCAAATTAAAAGAATTCTGAAATTAAAAAAAGAAAACCCTATGGAGATTACCCTACTCTGACAGACCTGGGATTACAGTGGGTCAGGATTACAGTGGGATTACACTGGCAGCAACATTAGTCTCTGGTAAAGATTTGAGATAATTTCTTTAAATGCTTTTACAGAGATGATAAACTGACCAGGATATTAAACAAGCATTCATATATGGGGGGAAATTTGGCATAGATAATCTATAAACTTTTAAAGTAAAATCTATGCTTACAAACTAGGTATGTTCTGAACTATGGAAATTTCGTATACAAGGGAATCTTTTAAAAATCATGGGAAAAGCCTAGTTTTTAATTCCATCTTTCTACAAACCACTTAAAGCCTTCTTAGATATGTGCCAGTTTATGTGAACATGGGCCAATTAAAATCCCATTTTTGATATTTACATTCATTGAAATCTAACAGAAATATTGGTGTGAAATTGACTTATGCTCCCCAATGAAACCATAATATCTATGTTTGTGTGACAGATTCTGGGAAGGGCAGGGGGAAAGGAGAAAATGTTTCCAAGCACAAGTATTAAGCAATCTAAAAAACAGTATTTTAATAAAGGGGAAACTATCATCAAGCACATTCAAGAAAAAGAAAATAGATGAAAAGAGTAAGTACATTTGAAAGATAAATGACAGTATAAAAAAACTGCCCCACAAAATGCCCTGGCATCAGCAACTCATTTTTCCCCTCCCTCCCCGCTCCCCATATTCCCCTTCATGAACACTTGATAATTTATAAATGATTATTTTGTCATATCTTGCCCTGTCCGACGTCTCCCTTCACCCACTCTTCTGTTGTCCGTCCCCCAGAGGGAGGAGGTCACATGTAGATCCTTGTAATCGGTTCCCCCTTTTCACCTCACCCTCCCTCCACCTTCCCAGTATAGCCACTCACACCACTGGTCCTGAAGGGATCATCTGCCCTGGATTCCCTGTGTTTCCAGTTCCTATCTGTCCAGTGTACATCCTCTGGTCTAGCCAGATTTGTAAGGTAGAATTGGGATCACGATAGTGGGGGAGGAGGAAGCATTTAGGAACTAGAGGATAGTTGTCTGTTCATCTTTGCTACATCACACCCTGACTGCCTCTTCTCCTCCCCAAGACCCTTCTGTAAAGGGATGTCCAGTGGCCTACAAATGAATTATTTTTATAGAGCTCACTCACCTGATGTCGATCAACCATCAGAAATGCATAGGATTCTGAAAGTTCCTTATCTAAGCGCCCATCAAACTTTAATTCTCTTCGCTTTTCTGTAAACTAAATGAAATTAAATCTGTTAACTACTTAGTGACTACATTTCCAAATTATGAATTTTGATCCTAAGAATTTCTAAACCCATCAAAAATTAAAAAGCTGTGTTTTCCTTATAATTTCAGCCCTTTAAATTTTACATGTATAGTCAAACATCTAGTGTTTATAAATTTCAACTAATTTTCTAATAAAACTTTACACATTCCAACTCTCTCATAGGTGCCTATTTTAGTTGTCTCTATATCTCTCATATTCTTTAGGATAGGCAGTTTAATAAATTTTGTTGACTGGCCAAGTTTTATATAGTTAACCAGGGCAAGAGAAGATGTTTATTTTCTTTATATCTCCATTTTCAATGCCAGGCACATAGATGGGTACCAAATATATTATTTCTAAGATAAAAGAATGAATCAGTCCGAGGTAGCAACCAGACCCCTAGAACTGCTGGCTTTCACGTTCGGTACAAGCAAATAAATATATGAGGGAACTCCAAAAAAGGCTTACAAAAAAAACAGAATTAAAGTAAATCTAGAAACAGTAACTGGATTAATAGTGTCCTAAGGAGTAACTGGATTAATGGTTTCCTAGGGATCTGGTAGGGAGGTTGAAGAGAAATGGTGAACTAAGAGTACAAGAAAAAAGAAAATGCTCAAAAACTGACTGTGCTAATAAGTGTACAAGCATTCTTAATATGATTAAACTATCAGGTTATATGATATTAATTGTATTGCAGTAAAACTGAAAATGAAATTAAAAGGGATGAAGGAATCTTTTCATGAACTTTTTAAAGTCCCCTTACATGTTCACACTGTAGAAACCCTATCTTAACAACTCTGGGTAATTTTCAGGACATTATTGATCTTCAGTAATAATTAATGAATCTTTACATTTTCATACAAAAAGTTAGCGATCCCTATTATACCAAGCAACCACTTCAAACTACCAAGGCTTTCATTTTCTCTGAAAGCCAGTAATCCTCTGGCCCTTTAAGAATCTTTACAAAGTTAGCATCATATTAACTTCTAAAGGCAGAAAATATTTAATTTTCCTTTAGAAGTAAACATTAAATATTTCTAAACTTCTCATTTATACTACTTCAGAATTACACATGCCAATTTTCCTTTATCAAAGAACTATTTCCTACTCAAAGAATATCCTAACTTGTACATAAAAACAAATTCATGGTCAAAGATTCCTTTTTGTTACTACTTGTTCATTACAAATTTCTACTAATGAAAATAAGGCAATCCAGACACCATGCATTCCCGCAATCACGGGAGGAGGGGATGTCAATAAAATAAATCCTGAGAAAAATACAGGTTTGATTTCCTTATTTTCCAATTCAGACATAATATACTATTATAGATTTCATTGAATTAATGTAACCTCAAGAAAAAACTAGTAACTTCTTATGAAAGGGCAAAAGCACTGCTATGAATTTACAAAGGAATTTTATACAATGAGCTCCCCTACACTCAAAATTCAGTTTTAGGAAAAGAAGTTTTATCACAAGAGGCTTGGCTTTAAAAAGTTCAACAAAAAAAAGATAATCAAGCTTTTCCACAAGCTTTTGGAAGCCCCTTCATATTTACACATCACTAGGTTTCTATAGTAAATATAGTTCTTTATCAATGATTAGTGGGTAAAAAAAGATGTCACAAAACGGATTTTAAATTGCAATGTTATGACCTTAAAAAAACTGATTTTAAAACATACCTCCTTTTCCAAGAGTTCATTATGTATCAAACAAGCACGTTTGTAGTTAAAATTTGCTACAGAGGTTGGTTCAAGGTAAGATGAATGGAGAATGTTTAAAACATCTTCAAATTCTCGGGAACTTGGAGTTAATGGCTGGAAAAGTGCTAAAAATAAAAAAATAATGACTTAGTAAGATCATTGCTCACTTAAATTCAGATTGTTTTGTGGGTTCAATAACTTTTAAATAAAGTGAAAAAGCAATGGCTATCTCACTTTGTGATATTCCAAAGTGGTATTAACTGAAGAATTAAGAAAAATCAAAAGCAGTTGCCCCCTTCAACAATGATCTTGCATTATATACAGACAAACAAGAAGACTGCAAACTTAGGGAGGCTACATTAAGCAGCCTAATTGTTGGGGTTCCTTTAAGAATCTGCATATACTCAAACTTACTGCAACTATTTTGTTACACTACATAAGTATTGTCCAGAACAGCATTAATGTTTACATTATAAATGAAAGTTTCAAAAAGACAACTTGTGTCTATAAAATAAAAGTTTGAGTAAATATGCTGCATCGTAATGGCTTCTAATGACCAATCTAAAGCCTTTTTTATGACAATTTGGCGAAGATGGGAAAATGTGAGACTCAGTAATCAAACCTGGACACAAATACCAAATATAGCATTTACAGGCTTTGATGGATTTTTCTGGGCAAATCACTAAACATAAATTCCTATCTCTAAGCTGTAAAATGGAGAACTCCAGTTGTCCTAATTATTATATACCACTATATACTACTGTATGGGACAAAAATGGAAAAAAATAAAAGTATAGCAAGATTTTATTTCTCAACCATGCTGTTTGTGTACCGTCTGATCTTTACAGAAATACACTGTCATATCTTTCTCCTGCCGAGCAGCTGCTGAGTTCCAACTACCAGCCACCCCCTTGATTAGCAACCAAATGCCACCAGGACTCCTTCCAACCATGCTACACCACATTTAATTTTTAAGATATTCAGTTAATGAGATAACTGGTAAACTATGCTAATTTTCACTTTATGAATACTTTTCCTAGTAAACTTACAGATTAACTCTACATAAAATTTCCTGTATTTGATTTTCAGTGTAGACAGAACTATTCAGAAACTGAAACACCAAATTGCTGTTGATTCCAACACATGACAATGCCATGTGTGTTCAGAACAGTGTTCCACAGGTTTTGTGATGGTTTTAATTTTCCTTAAGTAGACCACCAGGCTTTCTTTTAAACCATCTCTAGTTGGATTTAAGTTGCCAATCTCTGGTTAGTAGTCTACACAACCATTTATAGAACTCAGAAATGCATTCTAACTGTTCACCTAACCTATGTTATACTTTATTACATAATTTCTGTCAGGACACTATTACGGGTCAATGAATGTCAGCTTTAAATTTTCTAGGTTCCACTTGTATACTCTTAAAGGCAGTAGATAGTAGCTACCTACTAAACTGAACAGAACCAAGACTATTCAATACAAAATATCCTATAATCAAATTTACAGGAAATAATCTACTAATTGTAAACCACATGAGGGTAGGTTATCTACAATGTTTGTTGTCTTTAAAATACCCTGATAGAACTGTGATTACTGAACTCAAGGAGATTAAATGATTCAGTGAAGAAAATGAAAAATATTTTAAGACTTTTATACTGATAACCAAGTATATAACTACCAACATTTTTCATTTTTGTCACATTCCCAAATTCAGTAATATAAAACATAAAGAAAGCTCAGAAAGCAGTGTAAGAGAAATACATTCTCTCAATTCAAATATTTTGTTAAAGGCTCCAAACCAAAACCAAATAGATTCTGACTCATAACCTTATACAGGGCTTCCAAGACTGTAAATTTTTATAGAGCCAAATAACCTCATTCTTCTCCTGCAGAATACCTGATAGGTTTGAACCACCAACTTTGTGGTTAGCTATCCAACAGTTATCTGAGAATCCAACATAAGTTAAATAATGAGGCAGCTAGTAGTCAGTCAGTATCCTGAACTATAAAGAAGTTATGTGTATACGCACACATAAAAAACAAGACCCATTGCCACCAAGCTGATTATGACTTACACAATGACCCTACATAGGCTTTCTGGGACTATGTTTTTTTATTTTTTTGGTATAAGCTTCATGGGAGCAGACAGCCTTTCTCCCTGGAGAGGCTGGTAGTTTTAAACGGTTGACCTTGGAGTCAGTAAGCTCAACACTTATCCCTTATGTAATTCATGTTATAACTGGAATCAAATATTCCAAAGGCTGGACAAATTACTTGCTCATTTTATAGAATAGGAAATACAGAACCACTTAGGAATGAGAAATTAGCAATAAAAGAACAAAGAATCTGAGTTCTAGACCTATACTTTCTACTTTAGTCTTCTCTTAAATCTTCACACACACACCTTCATTTTAACTCTCCTACAGTTGACAGGGTCAAAATCAGTATTAACATTTTTCATTGCTTATACAGTTTTACATCAGTGGAAATAGTTCTTTCACACATTAAAAAAAATGCAATTTTGCTTAAAAGAATCCTATTAACTATATCAGAGTTAATAAATTGATTTCTAATCATACAAGCTCTCCCTATTCAAAAAATTTATTCTAGATGAGATTAAAAAACAAATTTAGAAGGGTACTTAAGAAACTTACAGATCAGAAGCAGCAACTAACAGTATCATGGTTACAAATAAGAATTTGGGGTAGAAACTAAACTACGTAACTGCTCCTCAGAAAAATGAAGAAACTCTGGTACATACATACACACAATAGAATAATAAGCATCACTAAAAAACGATGAAGCCAGAAAGCACCTCAAAAACCTGAAAAACATTACACTGAAATTGGTCAATTATAAAAGGGCAAATATGATGAGACCACTGTTTTAAGGGGGTTAAAAACTAAGGCGGTAATTTTATATCAGAGGGAACAAACTTCAGAGGTTACAGACTTTTAAGGGGAAGAGACTGGGGGCTGGGAGAGAAGATGAAACATGAGGGTTGACGGGTATTAAGAGGAGAGAAGAGAAAATCAAAGAGGTGGGGCAGCTTAAGGTAAGCTAATGGGGTGGGGGGGTTGATCATTTAAACTGTTGATCTAAAATGTTTAAGTCTCCACCTAATTCACAATAAAAAAGTTAAAGTTGGTTCTTTTGAGTCCTTATACTATCAATAAGCATTTTTTATTACTAGTTATGTACAAAACTTAAGAACTAAATTTATATTTAAGCAATCGATAAGCACTTAAAATTTAAATCATCTAATGGTTTTGTTCCTTGGTCAAAAGACCGTTTTCCTCAATTAGTTTTATCAATTTATGTAGTGTTAATGCACATCTGTATAGTGAAATTATGTGCACATCTATGTATAACTATTATATACATACACGTAAAAATTAGCTTTTAAAATTATGGATGGACCAGTGTTATCAAAACATACAAATGGAAAATACACAGTATAAATATATAATTTTCCAATTTCCAATAAAACTGATTCATGGAATCAGGGGAAATGGCAAGTGTAGTCTGGGGTTCACAGGTGGTCCACAATTCTCTCTAAATCCAAAGGGAGATGTTTAGAGGCATCAATGATTACAATTAACTATCCACTTGGTCCTGGAAATCATTTGCTTGAGGTATTTTTTAAATATTTATTTTAATAAAAATACTAATATAGGCATGCTTTAGCAGTGTCACAGATATTTAATATATGTGTATATATCAAGATTATATAGCGTAGAATTAGAAAATACACTGGGAGACAATGAGATGAGTAAAAAATATGAAAACGGATTGTTGAATTTTGTGGACTAGGAAGAGGTCTGAGACCACTTAGCACCATTACACAGAATATACATCAAAAGTTTTCTGTGGAAGACTGGGATCTACCCAATTTTCTGTTCAGATTTACTTCTTATGTAGGTACTCAAGACCCAGTTTTACTTATCAACTATTAAAACTTCATGGAAATGTCCTTTAAAAACAAAACTTTGCCCCAAAGAATTCAAGAACACACAGCAATTCTGTGAGAAGATTCCAAGTACAAAACTAGTCATTTACTTCTGAACTAGAACAGTATGGGTCCAGATGCATAAACGCAGTAAATTTTGTGAGACTCCCTTGTGCCCCATAACAAACTCGCCAGTAAACATTTCCCAGAAAGTGAATCATCACTACCTCATTTCCCAAGAACTTGAGAGGGAAAAACAATGAAATACAATTACCAATTTTAATTTACATTCAGTGACTTAATGGATTTGGAGTAAAAGCAGCCAAGAGTGAAGCATCTAACAAAGTACATTTTTCCAATTGCGTTAAACCAAATAGTTCCCTTTACATTATGGAAATAGCCCAGTCAATATATAATACGAAAAAGCTGTGAAAGCCAGGATGTGTGTAAAGCAGCAAACTCAAAAAGAACCATTTAATGAGTGATACCTTGAAAACAAAGCAGTCCCATCTAGTTCCAGCTCACAGGTTTCATTGGGCATCAAAAAGGTAATTTTTATGCTTTTCCAGAAAAGTTGGGCTGCTAACTGCCAAGGTCAGCATTTCAAAGCCACAAGCCACTCCTTTGAATAAAGACAGAGCTTTCTACTCCCCTAGTTAGTCTTGCAAACTCACAGGAGCAATTCTACTATGCCCATAGGGTCTCTATATGAGTTGGCATTGGCTCGATGGCAATGAGTGTTTTTATTTTCCAGTCAGTAATCCTTTCATCTTTAATCAGTATTAAGCACATTTATTTTATAGTGAATATAATTCCTTAATCACAAAATTCTGAGATAAAGACACACTAAATATTTCTAAATATAAACAACAGGGGGTAGGGCACTTTATAAATGGGTAAAGCAAAAAAACTCACGTAAGTCTTTACATTATAAAAAGACCCTTGCTAGCCAAACTGTAATGGTGGTAAAAAGCTACTTAAGGATCCGTGGAGGCGCAATGGTGTAAGCCCTCCACTGGTAGGCACAAGGCTAGCAATTCCAATCCACCATTGGTTCCACAAGGTGAAAGATCCAGTGATCTACTTGGTAAAGATTAAGCCCAGGAAAGCCCTATGGGGGATTAAGAATCAACTCCATGGCAAATAGGAGCTCTTCACTAAACGACTTTTACCTTAGGTTTAAGTTTCAAAGATGACATTTACTACTTCTTCCCTTGGGCAAGTGTATTAACCTATCAATACTGGTTTCCTCATCTGCAAATTGGGGATAGTACCTACCACAAAAGATTGTTAGACTAAGACCTACAACTAGAGTTTGCCAATAAAGGTTTGTCAAGAACAGAGTCAACAAACTACACACCGTTTGCTTTTAAGGCAGAATATATTCAAGTCCTAATCTTAAATTTCACTGAAAGTCATAAGCAAAGGTTTGCCATTAAGATACAAGTGCAACTTACAGCAGTCCTACCTACCGAACATAATCTAATAATATTCAATGGTAAAAATCAATGACTACAACTCATACCTCGCTTTCAAGCCTTCAAAGAAAGATGTTGGAATGACACATAAAGACGGAAGCATTTCTAATGAAACACCTTTCAAGATAAAGTTGAATTTTTCTTTTCAACTCCATCATTAAGCACTAACCTCTCTTAATTTGGAATAAATCATTGTGGTGAAGCTACTTAAATGTTTTAAATCTATGTAAATCATTACTGCTTTGTTTGAAAAGCTAGATGTGTTAGTTTCACTAAATTTGAAAAAGCCCACTATGACACATTTTTCTTACCTACAAGCTTTGTCTGTAGGTGAAAACTAAGATTAATTTTTCCCAAGAGCACTAGACTCAAGGGAAAACTGGGTTTTTTTTATTTCCTAATCCCTCAATTACTTTCACTTTCGATGTCTTCAACTGACGTCTATTTTACAGCAACCTCTGGATTTGGTTTAATTAAAAAAATATATGCACATATCACCTTTCCGCATACTAAATCAAACTGTAAGGGATGCGACCAATTTTCTGGCACTAACAAAATTTAAAAATGGTAAATTGAGGTATATATCTATATTCTCAGATACTTAAAAGCGTACAAAGGAACTTTGTAATTTTATCCTAAAAGGAAAAAAGCCAACCAGCTACGTCACATAGCCCACCTGAATGTACTTCAAACCTTTGATTCAGCCTGGGTATCTGACTTTTCTCAAGAATAACAGCTTCACCGAATAGACCAATAAAAATCGATAACATTTACAACATATTCTTGAAGCTCAAAATATTCTTGAAGTTCAAAATCTGTTAATTTATAAATACTTCTTGAAATATTCCTACTAGGGAAACAAAGATTAACTTCTCAGTCAACGTGGTCTTTTTAACACCAAGCATTTCCTTGGCTTTGCCATTCTGAACTTAATGATTTGTACCTTAACTGATAAAAGGCTCCAACACTTACCATGGAGCAAATGGTGCTGGTTATGCACAAGGCAAAAAGGAAGCACAGGGCTCAATAAAGATTCTAAAATGATTCTTTACACAATATTCAAATTGCAAACCAGAAAGCTATTACAAGTAAAAAGTTCGTATTATTTCCAAGTCATTAAAAACTACCACGCAGGAAAGAGGTCAAGGATCTGCATAAACTTAAGTCCAGAATATCCAAAATCTCGATAGTAAAAAACATTCCAATGAAAGGTTATGAAACTTCATGTTCATCTCCGTTCGTCACAAGATGGCACCATGATTTTAAAAAAAAGTAATGATGTCACGATTGTCTCCATTGGTTCCAAGCGCTAAACCTGAACCTACAAACGACCGGGCCTCTAGCCTATCCTCTCAAGCTCACTTCTTTCCCTGCCCAGCTCTCCCACTAGGGAGGTTACTGCACCCAGGACCTACCTTCCCCTTCCTCTCAAATATAAGAAAACCCCAACTATATGTGAATTGAGAGACCTATTTCACCTAAACTTCAAAAACATGGGGGCGTGGGGACAGCACCCAAAAAGCTCAACGTGGAAATAAGAGTGTGATGGCAAACAGCAGTGTGCATGGATCACATCGACTAATGGGAGGGAGATTGCTACACCACGGAAGGCGCGGGCATCGGGCCAATCTGCGGTGGACCCGCTGCAGAACTTCCTTCCACAGGGAGAAGCACTTGTGGTCCTCAGCTCGCAGTGGCGTTGGGAGCCGCGGGAACGGGGCCACGAAGCGATTTCCACTTCTCAGACGCGTCCGCTTGAGGCCATGCCAGCTTCTCGCCCTCGGGGGCCGGGAGGGAGGGGGCGCCGCGCTCCGTCGTGCCTCGGGGGCAGCCCTCGGGACGAACTTCCAACCGCAGCTCCTTCCGACTTCCACAGGCCAGGGGCTGAGGGCGCGTGCTTCGGCCGCGGGCCTCCCGCGCCGCCGCGCAGCAGCTGGAGGTCGTGGGCAAGGAAGCGGCCGGCGCGGGAGGCGTGCTTACGTGTCTCGGGCGGGCGTGGGGAGAGGAGACAGGAGGCTCTAGTGGAAAGATGAAGGGGAGAGAGAAAGGGAGGTTGGGGAGGAGGGAAGGCACCACCTTTCTTTTCTCGGCTCTTCCTGGGAATCTGAAAACTCCTCCGAACGGGCCTTTCCGGCTCTTCCGGGCCTTTGAGCAGGGCGGCCGCGCCCGCCTCGGAAGCGTCCGGAAGCTGCGCATGGCTGAGGCCCGCGGAGGCTTTGGCCGCCGCGGTCTCCTCAGGCGCGGTGCCGCCGCCGCCGCCGCCGGGCTCCGCGATGCTGAGGACGCCGTCGCCGCCATTTTGTGGGGAAGACTCCGGCTCCGGAAACGCCTGCTTTATGCCGTCGTCCCCGCCGCTGCCGCCGCCTTCCCAGCTCGCATCCGTCGCTGGAGAGGCCTCCATCCCCACAGCAGTCGCCATCGCGTCGGCTTGAGGAGCGAGCCGGGGGACTTCTGCCGACCAGGCCCGACGGGGGTGGGGGGAAGGGGCGGCAGGCCGGCCTTGCAGCCAAGCTGTTCTCAACCCACCCACCCCCTTGTCCCCGGGACTGCTGGCCGCTCTTCCGACCCCGCAGCTTTTGGGGGGGGCCCTAAAACGGGCACCCCAATCTTCACGCCCCCTCCCCGGGCACCGCTCCTCGCACAGGCAGTTAGTTCCTCGGCTGGCTCCTGCCACTCAACGTGCTCGCGTCTGTGCCGGGAGTGGGCGGAGCCTGCCTGGCCGCTCCACCAATCAGGCCGCAGCACCCGCCTTTAAGGCTGCGGATAGATCACGCCGGGGGGCGGGGCTTCGGGGCCCGCCAAAAGGGGTGCTCGCAGCGCCTGGAGAGTGATTCGACGCCGCCGTGTGCTACCGGGCGAGTGGGCCCGCTGGAGCGCCCCTGGCCCTGGAGGGTGCCTAGTTTATGCTGCAGCTGGGGGAGCTGTGCTGGGCCTCAGACCCAGGACGCAAGTGTAGCTCTACTTGGGAGAAACGATTGGCCCCGTTCTTTCCCACACTTGAGTTACATGGGCCAAAAAGGGGTTTAGAGTAGTGAAATGTGCATATGAAGCCCCAGAGTGGAGATAGGACAGGTAGCATCAGTAAAAAACTTCCGCTAATTCCATTAAATAAATGACCATAGCTTCTGGCAAGATTTTTATCTGAATAGGCATTTATTGCCTCCAGCAATACCTGGAATCTTTTAATGTGACTTGAAACCCTAGTGTTAAATCTAGTGTCAGTAGGATTTGTCTCTGGAGAACTGGGGTTTATTGGCCTTTAGGATTTTTTTCCTGTGGGTTTAGCCATTTTCCTACAATGAATGTGTGGTAAATGAAAGTATAAGCTTTTGCAGGCAGACCCTCACTACATTTAGAAGTAGATGATGGTTGATTGCTCCTGCTTAAAGGAAAACAACTACAAGGTCAGGTGGAGGGCCTTCTTAATTAGTTCAACCCAGTCAGCATAACCTTGTTAGGTTTGGATTCCTAGCAACCGGATGTGCAACATAATGAGACACACTACCTTATCCTGCATCCTCCTCACTTGAGCCCACCGTTGCAGGCAGTGTCAATCCACCTTGTTGAGGGTTTATCTTTTTCACTGACGTCTTTCTCCACGATTTGGTCCTTGACAACATGTCTACAGTACATTAAAAAAAAAGTCTCCCTTCTTTTCTCCCTCATAGCACCAATGAAACATACAACATTCCCCTAGTCCTCTTTCCTACCCCCCACTATCATGAACCAGTTCCACCTTACAAATCTAGCTATAACAGAACATGTACATTAGTATAGATAAGAGCCCTAAACACAGGGAATACAGGATAGATAACTCCTCAGGAACAGTAATGGGAGTAGTGATACCATGAGGGTAGGGGAAAGGTGGGAGGTGAAGGGGAAAACAAGGGGGTTACTGATAATAATGATCAGTGTATAACACACGCACACACACCTGACAACAGAAACATGGGTGAAGGGAGGCAACAGACGGTGGAAGTCTTATATGAAATAACATTCATTTATTTCATATTGTTATATGAAAATAACAATAATGTATAACTTAGCGAGGGTGAGTAGATAGGGAAGGGAGGGAAAAAGAGTACCAAGGGCTCACGTAGAAAGAAAATGCTTTGAAAATGATGATAGTAACATAGGCACAAATGTGATTGATACAATTAATGTATGGATTATTATAAAAACTCTAAGAGCCCCCAATAAAATGATACTCCAGCTGTATTACTTCAAAACATTTGCTGGTAGTCCAAGGTATATCCAATATTCTTTGACAATACCATAAATCAAAGGTATCATTTCTTCTGTGGTCTGCTTCATTTATCATTTATTATTCAGCTTTGAAATGCATATAAAGTGATTGATAATCATGGCTTGGGTCAGGTGCATTTCAGTCCTCAAGGTAACTAACATCTTTGCTCTTTAATATTTAAAACTAAATTTTGGTTTTCGTTGTTTCAGCAGGTTTGCCCTATGTAATGTTTCTTATCTTGACTAAGGTTTCCATAAGTGCTGATTGTGGACCCAAAAAACTAAATCCTTTACTTCAATCTTTTTCCAGTTTATCTTGATGTTACTTTTCTGTTCTTTTTAAAAAATTATCATTAATTGGGAATTGATAAATATATCACTCCATAGTTCAGTCACCAGCAGAATTGTTCATTTGCTACCACAATCAATTTCCAAACATTTCTTTTCCACATGGATTCCTTGATATTGTCTCTGCCTCCCCTCCCCCATCACCAGCAGCACTGTACCCTCCTCCCCCTAATCCCTTATTCTACTTTCTATCTCTATGGCTCATCAATCCTGGGTTTCATGTGCCAACATATAGCAGAACTTCAAGAGGGTAGCCCCCAATTACCTAACTCCTCTGAGATACTCCCTAATAAGTCCAAACCAAAAATAACAACAACAGTACAAACCAAAAGTACAGAAAATTTGGGAAACCAGATCAGACCCAGCCTCCATCATGGGTGGTGGGGGTGGGGTGTCTGCTGACAAAGTTTTAACTGTTCAAGTTAAATTTATGTCTTTGATCTTCTATACTCAAATCTAATTCACTCTGTTTAATAACCACTTTCCTCTTATCCCTCAATTCTGGATAGAGGGAGTTCACCCACCAGAGGCTTATTTCCTAGGAAGTTCCACAAATGGCTCTTGGGCTTCCACTGTCATCCATAGCCTTCTGCAAACAATATTCTTACATTTTAGCCTCTGATACTAATCCCTCCTTCAACTTTCGATTACCATAAATGCTTCACAATCCTTTGGTGACTGATAATAGTGTGCTTCTTCCCTGTGGACTTAGTTGACATCTCACTTAGATGGCTGCTTGTTTGGAGACAAGCCTTTAAAACCCCAAATGACACTATCTTATCTAGTAGCCGGAACCATCTATGTAATTTCTTCACTACCTTTTGCTATAGCACCGCTCTCTCTATGTTCCCTTCCTAAGGGAAAGTATGGAGCAGGGCCATGATGTAAGAACTAATTGTTCATAAGTTGGAGCTAGGCCCAAAACCCATTCCTGGATCAATTTTGATGACATCCATGATTGCTGCTTACACCTCTATGTAATCACCTCCCCTCTAAGGGTTTTGCATTCTTTAACTCATTTAATCTTCACAACACCCCTATAAACTAGGCATGCATATTCTTGTTTATCTAATGAGTAATTATCTTATTAAGAAAAAAGGAAAAGCAAAAAACTCAGCAAAATGCAGAACAGTATGGATATATATTACCATTTATACTTAAAAGGAGGAGCTTTGGTGGCATAGTGGTTACATGTTGGGCTACTAACCACAAGGTCAGGAATTCAAACGCACCAGTGGCTCCTTGGGAGAAAGATGACACTTTATTTCCATAAAAAGTTAAAATCTCAGAAACCCACAGGGAGAGTTCTACCGTCCTATAGATTTACTATGAGTCAGAATCGACATGAGTTGGTTTGGTACTTAAAAAGGACAACTATAGCTAAGTAAATGGACCTATTTGCACAAAACTTTTATAGAAGGCTACACAAATAACTAATAGTATTAATTGCCTATGAGAAGGACAGAGACTGGGAGACCAAAAACCAAACTCACTGCCATCGAGTTGATTCTACCTCACAGTAACTCTGCCTCTCAGCAGTAGACCTGCCTCTGTGGGTTTGCAAAGCTGTAAATCTTTACAGGATGAGATAGCCTCATCTTTCTCCCAGGAAGCAGCTGGTGGATCCAAACTGTTGATCTTGCAGTTAGCCCAATCTGTAACCCATTAGGACACGAGGTGTCTTTTGGGAGACAGAGCTGGGAGTCAGGTTTTTCACTCTATATCACCACTTAAATTACTTAAAAATTACATTTGAAAAAGAAAATAGAAAGAAGACATGGAAAAGCTTACTGAAAAGTTGTTTTCATTGTTACTCAGTCCTACATGAAAGAGTGAAACACTAACACTTGACGTACAGGAATACAGATATTTCAAAAGGATCTCCGTTTTGAAATATAGAGAAATTACAGATAAGAGCATTTAAATAAATGTATAGTTGGAGTTTCAAGACTCACATATATTAGAATCAAAAGAATTTCTAGGTCACTATGGGAACCACACAATAAGATTTGATAGTAACAGAAATTCTTAACTTTTTGACCATTTAGTCTCATACAAATGTTTTAGAAAATGAGCTCATTACTCACAGATTGTAGTCTTTATTAAATGAGACCCATCTGTCATTCAATGAAAAGGTGATCTCAAGGGAATGTTTTGGTTTAAGGTCTAAAGTCTAGGTTCCCAAACTTGGCTGGTCATTAGAATCACCTGTGGATCTTGTGAAACACATTCCCTAGGCCCCTCCTCTAGAGATTCTTCAAATACAGCCCAAGTGTCTGTCATTTCACCAGATCCCTAGGTGATTCCAATAATCAGTCAAGTTTGTGAACTTAGGATCTAAAGAGGATCTCAGGGCAGTAGTCTTGGGGAGTCATTCTGGTCTCAATCAATCCAATAAATCTGGACTTTTTAAAGACTTGAGTTCTGTTTCATAGTTTTCTCCCATATTGATCTGAATGGTCAGTAGTCGCAGCAGAGCATTATCTAGTTCTTTTGGCCTCACGGTAGATAATGTTGTGGTTTGAGACCATACGTCCTATAGATTGCTTTCTTCTCTGGGTCTCTGACCAACATCTTTTTTCTTTTGTTCTGGATAAGCAGAGACCAGTAGTTGTATCTCAGATGGCTGCTCACAAGCCTTTAAGACCTCAGACACCACTCACCGCATTGGGATGGAGGACATAACACTTGCTGAACTATATTATGCCAACTCACTGAGCTGTGGCACAACGCTATGGCCCTAAGCTCCAAACCTAGAAAAAACTATGGGTGTTTGGTTATGTCACAGAAGCATCTATAACTATGTCCCCTATGTCATTTATTATATAGATAGACCTGCCTATATACACATACCTGCATGTACACGCCTATAGATACATTTGTGCACACATATATCCATACATATGTCTATATACATATTTGTATAAACATACACATATTTTCAGTTGGTGGTAGTGTTATTGCAGGGTTATATTTTTCATGTTCTTCACCAAAAACATCTTTTTCTCTTGTGCAGCTCTCAGTGGCATCATTTACCATGTGTGCATTTCACCCTCAATAA